CTTTATTTTCTGTTTTATTCTAACGAAAATGTTTACCATTGACACTTCAGTGGGTACTGGGGGTCTTCCCAGGCAGCAAATGAGATACTCCCAAAGAAAACAATCTGAAAACCATTCAGTGCTATGAACATAGAAGGTCCTGCTGTGATGAATACTCCCCAAAACAGCCAGGGGTGTGTGTAAGAGGAACCATAGAGCCAACTGAGTAAAAGAAATTGAGAAACTTTTTTTTTTTTTTCCAGACCATCAGTCATTTTGAGATCCTTGAGCTTTATGTCTCTATTTGCTAGGAGAGTTATGTGTCATTTCCGAGTCTTTCCATTTTGGTTTTGTTAGCTATCTGGTTAATTGATCTGAATAAAAGATAGTTTTAAGTCAGTAGCAATAACTGCATCTGCAGGTGTGATATATTTTGTCATTTATTTTCCGAAAGGATTTACCACTTCACAGTAAAGAACACAAATGTGGATAAAGTTGATGAAAGAGTAATACAATAGAAATAAGGAATGAGGGGCCTGAATAATAGAGGAAGACAGATATATTACCTTGGCATCATGAGATTTTATACTAAGTTCTCAGGCAATGTTCAAAGAGCACTGGAGGAGTTTGATTTCTTGTTTCTTACGCTGGTTTACTTATCAGATGGTTTGCACAGAAAGAATTATATTTATTTTATTACTTAATTTATTATTCTACGTGCTATATTTGTCCATGAGTAAATTATCTAGTTCTCTTTAAATTTAATTTTCTCAGGTCTCCCCTGGGAGATGCTTGCATTGTTCCATTTTAACACCAACCAAAAACTATTTCGGGGAAAGCTGATTTGCTTTGTTTTCTTTCTTTTTTAAAAAACATAAATAGACAACCAACATTATATTTAGATGAATTTCTGGAGCCTTTTATCTGTAATTATTTGATGGAAAAAATAATAAATTAATTCCAGGTAGTTTACTATGTTTTCTAACTAAACTTTCCTTACTTCTTACACACACATACACATATGTATGTATATATTATTTTTATATCGAATATAAATCCTAAATAGGTCTATGATTCTATTTTTATTGGTAATTGCCGAAAAGAAATAATATGCTACTTGGATATAAGAATAGAAAACAGTGTCATAATGGCAGGACCATGAGGTTAAGAAGTCAAAGCTGCAATAGTAATAATTATCCAAATGGTCTAAATAAGGACATGTTAAGTTGCCATCAATAATTATATTAAATTTTAGTAAAATAAGCAGTAATATGTGCCACAGGTTTAAGAACTATTTCTTGGGGAAATGTATGACCTGGAAAAAATTTTATCTTTTATTGTCCTTGAGAAACCATCGATCATCTATTTAATCAGTTTGTTGTATAACTACATAAAGCTATTCCCCAGGACTTCTTCATGATCTAAGTGGAGCCTGTCCTACCCTCTTCTTCCCCCCAACCAATTCCATACACAGAATACACCCCAAAACATACATATTCATACCCTAACATACCTGGCTCTGCCAAAATCACCATCAGCCCCATCACAGTAAATAGCTTGCCAATTAAAATACAATAAGCCAAACCCATTTTTTGGTGCTTTTGAGACAAAAGAAGTTGTGTGTTAAATAACATGTCAAATTTGTTGACTGTTTGAAAACGGTGTGTATACATATCTTGGTTAATGGTGACAGTGTGGAGATTTCATTCCTGAAATACTCTGTTGGTGGAACTCAGCAATCTCGGCGGCTTCCAAACTTGCAAATCCTGCAATGTTGAATGGTCAAAATGCCACCATAGCAGTTTTTCTTCAGTTGAATTGATCACTTTTTGCTAGCAAGCAGGAAATTCATCATTCTGATTGTTAATAACTGGAGTATGATCTTCGTACCAGCATACTTAGCACAGCGAGAAACCAACAGGCAGAGAAACTAGGCTCGGGGGAGCAAGCATGTGATGTGGTATTGCATGGCTTGGAAATGAAAATCTTTAATGGATTAAGGAGGGTTCTTACAGTTCTTAGGATGTGCCCCAAATGTTGATTTGTAATCCACATTTTAAAATAAGAAATTAACTTTTTAATTTGAAAATGTAAAGCAAAATAAGTCCATGTTCCCCCTAGGACTCTAGGCATTTTATATTAAAATAAACAGAAAGTGCACATGCAAGAAAGCAAAGCTAACTAAAGAGGGGGAAAAAATAACAGGTTTTCAGAATAGAAAGTTGTAAATATTAATTAACTTCCTTTAAAGCCAACATTGACTATGGGAGCATTCAGGGTCTTTATTTACCCTTACTAGGAAATTCGATACCAAGAATACATATTTTTAGATTTATTTCCACATGGCAGAATAAGCCAATATGCTAAGGACTTTGTACTTTTTTGCCCTTTTCATCTACAAAGTTAGAATTATCTAACATAGTGGCATCCTAAATTCAGAACAACAAAAGCAAGCAAAATAATTTTTAAGGCTGATTTTTGATCTACCTTGAGATTATTATAGTGAGGTTTTGTTCTTTGTTTATTTAAAAATTAAAGCGATGATGACCTCCTAACCACTATATATAAGAAATTGTATACTTACCTTTTAAAATGTTCTTCCTCTTTATATTCTTTATTGAGAATTACTGAACAGTCAGTGGATAAAAAATATGAACAGAATAGAAGGTTTGTAAATTTATTTGTATGGTTAGAAGGCCAGACTAGCTTTTGAAAATATGCCAGGTTTGGGGGCTATGGCTTTGTTTTCATTCCATTTTGGTCTTATAGGAACATGTGAAAAGAATAAAGTATAGTCAATTTTGCACCACTGGTATAGTTCATTGAATAATTTTATTAAGCTATAATTGGCATATGGTGAGGACAGGCTTTTGGAAGCAGGAGGGAAAGCTGGAGACTTAAAGAGGTGCCATTTATGTAAGTCAGGTGCTTGGGTCTCTATTTCCAAACATTGTTAACAAATGAAGTATCCCATAGAACTGTTGTGAAGATCCAGCTAATGAATTTGAAAAGGTTTATTTAAACTGTAAAACACCAGGCATAGGTGTTGCTGTTATCAACTGTGGACTTGCTCTTTTTGTAACAAAATGATAAAATTATTTCCTGATAGAGTATGGATTTATCATATTTATTTACATATGTAGCAGAATCCACTACATATTTAGGATAAAATAGGGTAAGATTTTATAAATTGCCACAAAATGTCACAGGCTGATTTGCATTTTTGGTGATTCTATACATTGATCACTGAGTAACCTTCAGTTTTCCAAATAAAGAATAAAGAGGGTGGTGATGACATATGTAATCATCTACAGGAAAGGGAATTATTTAAATTCTTCACAGATGGATAGATAGCAAGGGTAAATCATTATGTCCACATTTCTAAGTTTAGGAAGCATTAGGGTATCTGTGGATGGTGAGGAGCAGATATTGTTTTGCATATAGCATTAATCATAAACTTTCCATACCACAATCCCAAATTCTCCAGATGACTGTGGAGGTCTTTTCAGACACTATCCAAACAGGATTGAGACATTCATAAAAGGAAGATAATGTTATGCTACACGTAATATACAAACTGAGCATATTGGAAAGACTAGAATAGTGACCTTTCAAAAAGGACAAATTAGATTCTATCTGCCTCAGAGTATAATGTGGCTTAGTGCTTAAAATAAGGATGACATATGACATATACTCCTAATTCTAGCCTCATAGCAGTTGACTTTATTATTTCTAAATAAGCTGCATAACTCATTTTTTCTTCACACAACATAATTCAATCCGATATTCCCTGTAAACTAAATGTGAACCAGTGCTGGAGATTTTTAGTGAAGTTGAAGAAATCTGAATGCTTATCTAATGCTGCTTTAAAATAGTTTCAAGGGTTGGACCATGTTCAGTGGGAACACACAAGAAGATCTGCTGCCAAATATTCTTTGAACTTTGAGATGAGTAACATATGGAAGTACTCACTACGGGTAACATACATAAAGCCATAGAAACTACAATGATGTAGTCTGTTCTGGGTACCAAATCTAAATGCTTTCCTCCAAATTTAGATTTAAAAACTTATTTTTAAAAACAGACTTTTAAAACTTATGAGATGCAAATATTTTCTTTATTTTTCTTCCTGTTTGTTTTCTATGTATTTTTAAATTAATATATTCTTACTAATCCCTGGCTTTGTAAATAATAAGAGTGAAAAGATGGTAAATACTAAAAACACTGATAAATCCACTATTCATAAGTGGCAATACCACTTATGTTCCAAATTCATCACTGTGAGATTTTTTTTTCTGTGTCTTCTATATTCCCTTTTTGAAATTGAGTTTGGAAAACAGAGGGAAGCTGTTATATAATACCAGATAAATACCATCACTAGGGAAATAAATTAATTTTTAAAAGGCTTCTGGAATTAATTTTTATCACATATTTTACAGCAACATAATAGTGAAATAGGCCAATGCAGAACTTGGTTTTCTCAGGCTCTAGCCTTCTTTTCTGTGGGGGTGCTCGCAGGTCCAGGTGTGAAAAGAATGATGGCTTTGGACTTACACCTTACCTCTGGTGAGGCATTCCCGGAACTGCTCCCGGCCCCACAGGCCAGAATGTTCTGAGAGCTGAGGTGGGGGGGAACTAGTTTTCTATCTCGTGCCTGTCCTAGCCGAGATGGAAAATTAACTCTGCTGTTGAGGAAATCGGGAAAGTTGTCCATCACCACATACCCTCGCTCTCAGACAAGGCATGTTATTTGCCGTCTGCCATTATACGCAGGAACTGAAGATGTTCAGGATGTCTCTCGCTAACATCTGCTTTGTTATTAACTCATTTTGCCTGCATCTTTAATTTGGGGTGACAGCCGCCTTGCGAGACTTTGGATGCCATCCCTCTCAGTAAGCAAATAACGGCATGTGGGGGCCGTCTCCTCTCCGCGGTGGTCTGTGCAGAGGCTCCACAGCGTGCCTGCAGCTGGCGATGCACAGTACATGCCCTGATGGCTCCCTCTCTCCTTGCTTTCGCAGCTGGCGCTACGTACATCTTTGGGAAAAGCGGAGGCCTCATCCTCTACACCTGGCCGGCCAACGATCGGCCCAGCACACGCTCTGACCGCCTCGCCGTGGGCTTCAGCACCACCGTGAAGGATGGCATCTTGGTGCGCATCGACAGTGCTCCGGGCCTCGGTGACTTCCTCCAGCTTCACATAGTGAGTACCAGGCCTGGGCCTGGATTTCTTTGTCTTCCTGCTGGTGTGAGTCGGGGAGCCAGATTAACGCAGCGGAACATTCTAGATAGACTCGGCAAAGAGGCACATGATTATAAGAATTGCCTAGGTGTGTTGTAGCCGTATCCCAGGGCTAGCCCTGGTGTCAAGCCTCGTTTGTGCCCTTAGACGTGAACCTTGATCCCCATGGGGTACTTCGGGGATAAAAAATGAAAAACTCTTTCAGTCCAGACACCCAAACCACTCAGCTGTGTGGTTTGGCCTGTCATGCAACGTTTAGCAGACTGCCTACGTGTAAATAAGAGATTTACCTGGTACTTTGCCTTCACCTGTTGCAAGTAGCAAAGCCCACATGGGTGGTAATAACCTCCTATGCTAGGGGTCAGTAAAGTGTTTCTGTAAAGGGGCAGATGAGCAAGTATTTTGGGCTTTGCAGGTGATACAATCTCTGTCAGAGCCTCTCAGTTCTGCCATTATAATGTGAAAATGGCCATAGATAACATGTTTTTAATAAATGTGTGTGACTATATTCCAATAAAAAAAGGCAGGCTGCAGGCTCTACTTTGATGACCCCTACCCTAGGCTGCAAACTTCCTCATACAGGTGTAAAGAACATGTGATAAAAACCGAGGCCAGGGTGGGTGGGGCAAAAAGGAAACAGCACAATAACCCAGAATTGTTAGATTCATGTGTATTGTATATCCAACATTTTGTTTGTATATATAAGCCCAATAGGACTGCAACCTCAGTCACTGCAGGTTGTGAAGAACACAGTGCAATTCTAAGAAATTATAATGATTTGGAGGAAAAAATTACTTTGTTATGAGGATAGAAAATATTTTTATAGCAACAATTAACCCATTTTATCACCTGTGCAGTCTGCGGTTAGGAAAGTAGGCTAAAGAAGGATATGATTCTCATCCATAAGCACCAAAAGTGCAGCCACCAGGAGCAAAGAGAGCAATTGTTCTCATTAGTTAGCAATGACAAGGCCAGAAAGAATGGATTTAATTTGGAGCAATAAGAATTCAGTTTAAATAGCAGGGGGAAAAAGCAGTTAAGAGGAAAGATCAACTGGGGATTACCACCAACCTCCAAAAAGGAGGAAAAGGAACATTTTACTGGGCATCTTTGAATCTGAGTTTTGCTAATGTGCTGGTCTACTGAGGAAGGCAGAGAGTGGAATTTTATGGCTGGTCTCCAGAGTGGAGGTGGCTGGCTGGAACCACCAGCAGCCAGCTTAGCCTGCAAGCGCCACCCATCTCTAGCACCGGCTCTTCCAGTACGCCTTGGAAACAGGAGCAGCTTCAAGTGTAAGGCTTGAGCTGGAAGCCTGTCCGCCTCAGTGTGAGCCAAACCAGGCAAGAGTGCAGGGAAGGGCTGGTTAGGAATGATCACCTTCAAAATGTGAAAGAGGGGTCTTAACGAAGTTGTGAACCTTTATACTTTCTCAGATGCTTCAAGAACCATATGGTCCTATGAGCCTGAGCTTAAGCATTTTAGAAAGTCATGCCAAGGAGCATAGAGAAAAGCAGCCATAGTTTGTATGTTTTATCTTTATTTGGCCTCTAAAAACCACCATAATTTACAAAACTCTGTGAGATTTATGCTGCGTATAACTTAATGACTATTTCATGGCAGCTGTAACTAGGCTATTATTACCAGCTCGCTTGCATTTTCACAGTGATTTACCTTCTTTTTTGTTCAGTGTGACTTACTAAGAAAAAGATGATTTGGCACAGCCATGAGCATCTTTTTTTGAGTCAGATAATGTGCTACCAGTTTATCCACTTCTCCCCTTTCGTGTTTTGTAGAGCATCTCCACTTTTAAGAGAAATGTTTCTTATTTTCTGAAAGTTTACTTAAAATGTTTTTATAAAAGGGATATGAGGATCTTGGGAACTTCTAGGAGGAACTATAGCATTCTGTTTTAATATCTTTAACAGCAAAAAAAGAAGAAATTTTACATCAAAATATGTAGACCCACTTGGGTCCTGTGGCCCTTGTCCAGTGATGCTCTATCATTGCTTAAACATTCTAGAAAATCCCAACAGATTGCCCTTTATCAGTTGACATCATCTGACCTTCTTAGAGAAAAGAGAGACCCTACAATGTGGAGAAACCACATCCTTCTGGAATAGTCCTGACATGCTCATGACCCTCTTGAGCATGGGATCACTTCATTGGTCTAATAATTACAAACCATCTTTTATTCCCTAGTGGATTATCTCTGGTGTCTACCATAGGTAAAAACTATGTGACTATATTACAATCAAAATTCATTTATAAAAGCAGACTGCAGGCTGTACTTTGGTGACCCCTGCCCTAGGCTGCAGACTTCTTCATAGAGATGTAAAGAACCTGTGATGAAACGTGAGGTCAGAATGGGCAGAGCAAAGGGAAGGTTCCTTACCACATTCAGGAATAAAGGAATCCAAGTAGAAGATCAAAAGAATTGATTCCAAAACCTGCTTCTTGTTTTGGACATTTACATAGATGCACCAGGAAAACGAAGCCATAAATACCTACTAAGATACTTTTATGTGACTTTTACAATCTGTAAAATGCGGATTCGTTTAATGCACGTAGCTTGTTTCCTTGTACTAAAGAACATTGCTCAACAAGAAAATAATTCAAGGACAATTAAGGAATGTGGAAAGGATTGGGCAGGAGGCAAAAGGATCCATTCCTGCTTGCAGTTTACCTAGAAAAGAGAAACCCACCAGAGGAAAAGAAGTGATGGCAGACACAGAGAGGAGAGGGAGGCAGGATGGATCTCAGGGGTAAGGGGAGGAAGGAGGGCACTGGGCCGGGGGAGGAGGACCTGTCCTCCTGGAGGTGTGCTCCTAGCAAGGGGTCATATCTGGGAAACTTCATTCCTCCAGTGTGGCTGTTGATTGTGGAAACAACCAAGAGTACCTTGGTGCTACTTCTGATTGGTTGCCAAGCTCCTAAGTTGCTCAAAAACAAAGTATAAACTCAGTAATTAGCAAGTCCTAGGAATTCCTGAAGTGTTTTGAGCCACAGTAACTCTGTCCTTGGAACAAGCCCTTTTTACCCCCCACTTAGCCTATTTAAAGGAAGAGAGAATGCTCTTCCAAGAACGCCAAGGAGTCTGACCCTGAGCTGAGCACCCTTTCTAGAGCAGACCTGCTTGCTGTGGAGTCCCCCGAGCGGGGATGGCAAAGAGGCTTCCTCTCGTCTGCCAGCTCTGAGGACCTCTCACTTCCTCACTTCAAGCTTTACAGTGGGTGGAAAGAATTCTGAGAGCATCAGGCAAATCTAGCAGATAGGAGTTCCGGCTTCCAGCAGGGGAATCCACCCCCTGAGCTGAAATGGGACTTTGTGGATGGATGCATGCTGCATGGATTACCCTTGCTCTAGGCTACCTGCAATCCCATCCCTGACCTTTCCCACTTCCTTCCCTTTGTCACCCTGAAATGCCCATGCATTAAAAACTCTTTAGGAAAATTGGAATCTTCTTAAACTCCTTCTCCACTGGAAGCTCTTGAATCATGTGCTAATTGGTTTAGTCGTTCATCTTTTTTTTTTTTTTATTCATTCAGTAAATATTTATTGAGTACTTACTACATGGTTAGCAAAGGGAATAAAATAGTTACCTACTTTACTAAAATCTCCAACCTTTTGGAGCTTAAATTATGCTAGAAGATACAGAAATTAGTTTTTGTTTTGTTTTGTTTGCTTTTTAAAATTGAAGTCAAATTAACATTCAGTGTCATATTCGTTTTAGGTGTACCATAGTGACTGGACAGTTCTACACATTACTCAGTGTTCACAATGTTATTGCAATATTATTGACTGTATTCCTTGTGTTCTGCATTTCAGCTCCATGACTTAATGATTCGTAACTGGAAGTTTGTACCTCTTAAGCCTTTTTATCTATTTCATCCCCATCCCCTTCCCCTTTGGCCACCACCAGTTTGTTCTATTTAAAGTCTGTTTTTTGTTTGTTCATTTGTTTTGTTTTTTAGATTCCTTATATAAGGGAAATTATATGGTGTTTGTCTTTCTCTGACTTGTTTCACTCAGCATAATACCCTCTCGTTCCATCCATGTTGTTGCAAATGGCAAGATCTCATTCCTTTCTATGGCTGAGTAATACACTGTGCATATACACCACATCTTCTCCATCCAGTCGCCTATTGATGGACCCTTTGGTGGCTTCTATATCTTGGCTTTTGTGGGTTTTTTTCTTTCTTTTTGTATTATGTAGAACAACAGGTAGTCTGAGCAAACCGAAATGGGAAAAAAAAAAAAATGGACTGATAGTACATTCCCCACCTCTGTCTTGGTGCCCTTTTCTTTACATCAATTCTTCACCTGAAGGTACCAGTGCTTCAAATTAGCTTACGTTTCTTCATTTTTGGTTCACACTTCCATGATGCACTATTTTCTGTTTCAACTATTAATCGTAATATTAATGAAATCACAGATGAAACGTGTTTGGCAAAGGCAAAAAGATCTTTGCTTGCAATACGTATGCATGAAATGAAATTCCGTGGAGGGACAGTGTCTTAGGGCAGAGGGATTTGTAAAGAAGTATTACTTCAAATATGTTTTGTCCATTGACATCTATTGTTGAGAAATTAATCTGCTCAATATTTGGAGAGAAGCTGCTATTATTTGCAAGTGACATCTGCCTATTGACCTCTCATGTAGGCTCTATGAAGCTGTGTCATGTTACACTCACCTTCATTTATCCAATCAGTAAAAAATTGAATAAGACCAGAGAAAGGATTACCATGAAGTGCTTGCTATTCTCTCATGAAACTCTTGACAGCCTCCTTTTACCACCTACAAAATAGAAGGTCAGGCATAACTGGGAAACAATTAGCTTCTCTTTATGTAGTTAATACAGGGTGTAAAAGAGATATGCTATTAATTTCTTTCTCCCTGTGTGTAATTTACAGTAAATCCTCTTGGATTCATTTTTTAATTATGAACCTTTCAGGAACAGTGAA